TGAGAGAACCAAAACCTTGACGATTATCGAAATTTTTCATCGAATGGTAGCTAACACATACGAGATGGTGGATCTACCGCTCGTGATGGACCTGTTCGGACGAGAACTCCGACTTATGGATTACCCATGGAGAATAACCCGCGCCGCGATATATGCGATCATCCAAAACTGCAGGGACGCGGACGTCCGAAATAAATTCCAGGAGTACCTGGAAAAGCAAAAAGCACCAAATCGACGGATATAAAACTGAAAATCCGGAATAAAATACGTCAATAAATTCACACGACTCGGAATATAAAGCTAAAATCACAAATCGAAAAATCAAAAATCAAAAATCAAAAATATAATTTTGCACGGAATGAAAATAAATTTTCAGGGACGAAAAAAAAACATACACGACTAAGTACCCCGGAATATCACGGAATTTCTGCAGATATAACGACGTAACAGTGTTGCTCACATTTCCAAACATACGAAACAGATAGAAGATGAAAGACTTAAAGCAGTGGAAACGAACTAATAAAGAAAAAATACTCACCTGGAAATGAAGGAAAATCCACGACCATGAAAGTAAACGAGAACAGAACAACAAACAAGGCCAGATTTGAGTCTATAAAAAAATAGCGGAGTTATAGACAAGTACCACAGTAAGACGGAACTCCGACAGAGAGGAGAGTATGTGAGTAGCACGCACAAAATCATTAGATATGATGAAAGTAGCTCCAGATTTAAGGCATGTTGGAAATCGACGACGACAAGGACAACACAGAGAGCGACTGCGGGAGATCCTAAGGATAGATAATGAGTACACTACAAGAATAGGAAAAGTGGCGGAGAAGGACTGGGAACGAAGGGTATAAATACTGAGGATAGTGGCTTAAATGATTACCTGAGCAGTGAGGTAGAAGGGTAATCGTGACTGGTGTCGCATTCCATGGACATTAGGTGTATGCTGTGAAAGTAAAACCTCGCACGTTCTGTCTACATTTGCATGTGTATGCTGTGAAAGTAAAACCTTGAACGTTCTGTCTACATTTGCATGTGTTTATCTCTATGCACGGTGCTTAGAACTTGTGGGCGGTACCCTCGATGATTGGCACTGTATACACCTGTCACTCTTCCATTTTACATTCACTGTCTTTATCTCTCTCTCATCATTCGTAACCTTTTTCTTTCATGATATCATAATGGCGATTTGTTGGAGATTACTATAGCGTGGAGATTACTCAACGATTTTTGAAGATTCTGTTTTACTTATCTGGTGTGTATTGAAGACGATCAACGAGGTTGTGGGGTTTTTTATCGACTTCAAGTACGAAGACTACCTACCTGACGTTCCCAAGAATCAAGAAGATGTCGCATTCGTGATCATCGTCGGACAGGAGGCGACACAGACACTCATCATCATCTTCCGGATCTCAAGGGAGGAAGCGCTCAAAAAGGGGGAGATTGAAAACTCCGAGAGATATAAGACATAAGTCAAGATNCAGACACTCATCATCATCTTCCGGATCTCAAGGGAGGAAGCGCTCAAAAAGGGGGAGATTGAAAACTCCGAGAGATATAAGACATAAGTCAAGATCACCATCGTCACGGAGAAGAAGGGCGGAGTCAGAATCTCCAAGGTGGTTCTCGAGACCATTGTGGGAGCAAAGACGGAATGATTTCCCCCCAGCCATGCCTGGGCCAACTAAAAAGTACTCCAAATTCAGTGAGTTTTCACGCTCAAAAGAATGCGTGAAAAAACCTGAAAATTGGAGTACTCGTAAATTTTGTTATGATCTTTCCAGGACAAATGCTACATAAATTTTTAAAAATCATTCCAACTGCGAAATAGATTGCGGCCGCAATTTGACCCATATTTCAATTTTGCCATTCAACCTCTCTCTCTCTCTCTCTCCCTCTCTCTCTCTGTCTCTGTCTCTCTGTCTCTCTTTTTCTCTCTCTCTCTTTCTCTCTCTCATGACGTTGCGTCACTTCAGGAGTGCGGGTTCTAAGATAACCAAGACCTTGACGATTATCGGAACTTTTCATCGAATGGTAGCTAACACATATGAGATGGCGGATCTACCGCCCGTACTTGACCTGTTCGGACGGGAGCTCCGACTCATGGATTACCCATGGAGAATAACCCGCGCCGCGATACTTGCGTTCATTCGAAATTGCAGGGACGCAGACGTCCGAAATAAATTCCAGGAGTACTTGGAAAAGCAAAAAGCATCAAATCGACGGATATAAAACTGAAAGTACGGAATAAAATACGTTAAGAAATTCACATGACTCGGAATATAAAGCTAAAATCACAAATCGAAAAATCAAAAATCAAAAATCAAAAATCAAAAATATAATTTTGCACGGAATGAAAATAAATTTTCAGGGACGAAAAAAAAAACATACACGACTAAGTACCCCGTAATATCACGGAATTTCTGCAGATATAACGACGTAACAGTGTCACTCACATTTTCAAACATACGAAACAGATAGAAGATGAAAGACCTAAAGCAGTGGAAACGAACCAATAAAGAAAAAGTACTCACCTAGAAATGAAGGAAAATCCACGACCATGCAAGTAAACAAGAACAGAACAACAAACAAGGCCAGATTCGAGTCGGTATAAAAAAACAGCGGAGTTATAGGCAAGTACCACAGTAAGACGAAACTCCGACAGAGAGCAGAGTACGTGAGTAACACGCACAGAATCATTAGATATGATGAAAGTAGCTCCATATTGAAGGCATGTTGGAAATCGACGACGATAAGGACAACATAGAGAGCGACTGCGGGAGATCCTGAGGACAGATGATGAGTACACTGCA